TGACACAATTATATAATTTTATTTTAGATCCATCTTTTGATTCCCTAACAGTGGCAAAGGTATTGCCATAATATAGTTAAAAATAAATTAACCAGCATGAATTCGTTTTTCTATAAACAGAATTTAAATAAATTTGAAATAATTTAATAACTTGAATTTTTATTAGGCTGTGCAAATTTAATTGCTAATTATTAAAGGAAAAATTGTATTAAATAATACACAGTAAAATAGATTTATTTTTTGATATTAAATGGTAAAATTAAATTACACATGTGATATGAATAAAAAATTATGCTCAATAAATAACATCTAACTAATTTAATTAAATAATAAATAATAATTCTTATAAGTATGAATTAGACTCGGAACTATAGATATTATGTTCTAGAACATGATTTTATCCTGTAATTTGCATGCTATCGAATTCATATACAATAGTGTTTATATCATCTATCTTAATCCAACCAAAAAATAAAATAATTAAAAAAATCTTTTTTAAAAAAGAAATAGAAATTTTTCTTTTATTTCAACCACTTAATCATTTATATTAGTATTTTAGCTCTCTATACATCTACACCTATCTATGTTACTGCCCAAGATGAAAGAAATCACAATATCGCAATATTGTTATTCTGATATTCAATAGTTTTGAAAAAATGAGAACCATAATATTAAAAGTTAATACTATGAATTTACTTAGAAAAAAACAAAGTTTAGATTAGCTTGATCTTAAATTTTTCTATGCAGCATTTTATTATATAGTATTTGTTGAAAATGAAAATCATATAATATGAATTTGGTTTAATATTAAAAAAGAAATAAAAAGAACAATACCTCGTGAACTTATAATATAGCTAGAATAAATTTGACTTGCTCATTTATATATTTTTATTATTTGATTTTGGAATTTCAGTTTTTCTATATTCTCAATTGTCATTTTAAAATACTCATATATTCCCAATCTCCCCTGAAACATTAAAATAATCTACCCCTCTACAGCAAATTGTTTAATTTTTGACCTCGCAATTTCTCCTTTCAAAGAACTAATCTTATTGTCTAGAGATCTTGTCATTGACAATCTTGAAGCATAAATATCATAAACCAGATTTTAAATGTCCTATTAGATTTTTACAAAAATCTATATTTTTTATTTATAAAAAACCTTTGATTAAACTACTCTATCATTTTTATTTTTCTCAGGATCTTCAAATGCAAAAATCATCATTCTGAAGGTCAAGATTTGCTGATTAAATCAACGCAATAATTTATATTGCTCTTGAATCTTTTGGTTATTTCTAATATGAAATGTTATCAATAGGAAGGCTAAATTAAATATTTTTATGAATGTTTATATTATCATAATTATGTGTCAATTTGCTTGATATCTATGAGCTTGACTTCACTTTTCTCATAATTGAAAAATATTTAATACACTTTACAATCAAGATTTGATATTATAATTATAGTAAATATTTGAGATGAAGAGATATTTAAAAAAAAAAATTATATCAATTCTTAATGTGCCTAAGTTGTTGGGAATAGTTTAATTGAAAAATTAATAGTATTGATAGCCCCATAGCAATTATGCTTAAACTAATATTATTAACTTTGTAAACATTCATTACATTTATTTAAATAACTTTAAATAGATTTATTTGTAAAGCTTTTTGCATAAATCTTTCTGTTAATTAATTCATGACTTTTATCAAGAATTATTGAAAATGTATCTTAAGTATTGAATATTTGGGTAGTTTCTAAAATTTCAACTTCAAAAGGATTTCTAAAATCTGCTTGTTTTTCTTTCATCTATGTAATTCTTAGAGTTCTACATTCTAATGCTGTATAAATGGTTGTAAATTAATACTTGAGCCATGCTGGCTTATGGATTTGTTGGGTATAATACTGCCCATCTAAAATCATATGAATTAGTTGTACTTAATAATGTATGTATCTGATACCATATTGCCTATTAGTTTGTGTAATATGTTTTATTAAGTTTAACGTTATCTGTTAAATCATAAGAAATACCAATAAAAGGTGTAATCAATAAAGAAGAATCTTTAAAATTATAATGAGGACTTATGTAAACAGCAGTCGTATTGATTGTACTAAATTGAGAAATGGCTTCTTTGACTCCTAAAATTACTTAATATCCCAACCTCAAAGATTTTATAATTTATTGTTTTGATTAGTTATTACAACAGATACATTTGATTTTGTTAATTCAGAAATCTAAATTAATATCTCTAAATAAATACCAAAATATCGAAGTAAATAGAACATTTGTAGGAAAAATTAATCAAAGAGATGAAAGCTTCTTCTACATTAGGGTTAATGTGAGAATATGTTTTATTTTCGAATGAAATCATGTTAAACTCATTTATAACTTAAATTCTTTCATCATCTATTGCTTACCATTTAATTACAACACCATAAACGATTGAATAATAGCATTCCCTTTGTATTATAAAATCTAAATTTTGGATACACTTCTTGTAATTAATAATTTTATAAATCTTTAGAGGGAATAAAAACAAAGATTAAATACTGGTTATTTATATTCATATTTTTTCTTAATTTCTTTGAGAAAGAAATATGTTTTTTTTTTGTTTTTACTTTAAGCAAAATGANTGTTATAAAAACTGAATGATTTTAACAGTAATCTATATAACTGTTAGCCTTATTTCAAAGATTTTTATCTCTCTGAAAAAGATCTACTTTCTGTATAAACTTTAATGATTTTTCTAAATTTAAATACTTGATAGCCTTTTCAATTTCATTCATTGTTTATTCTTTATCTCCACAATCACAAAATCCAAATTTTAAATAATCATATGTCACTACATGATCTAATGTAAGAATAAAAATAGTAATAATTTATTGTTTTTCTGGCATAAAGCATTCTTAACAATAAACATGATTAGGCTCTTTACAACAATCAAAACATTAATAATATTAAGTATTATTACTTAAAGTTGCTGAGCATATTTTGTTATTTCCTGTATCTTTTAATTAAATTCTACTATTTTGAAATTCATTATCTGAAAGCGCTAAAACATGTTATACTAATTAGAAATCCTTCATATTCTATTATATTTGAGCTTCATTCAAAATTATATTATTAATCTATTTTTATATATTCTTAAATAATTTATATTAAATAGATTATAATATTAATACTAATACTTTTTTTTATAATAGAATTAAATGAACATTTTCTCCAAAAAATTTTAATAAAATTCATTATTTTCTTTACAGATTTGTATAAGTTTTTAAAAAAATGGACTGAAGCTAATACTTATATCAATGATATATACACAAGTTATACAACGTGAATTACTTGCAGTTATTCTTTCAAATGAATAAAATTTTTTTAAATTGGGAAAATTCAAAAACTAATTTTAATCTACGTATGGATAGTTCATTCTGATCAAGAATTAAGTTTTTAATTTTTTACTTGTGGAAAGGAACCTACACATTTTATTTGTAAAAATTGCTTTATACCTAAATTACATAGTAGTATAATATATATATATATATTCATTGGATCATTAGTGTATTATTGATGTAAAAATAAGGGATTATGTGATTGTGGTATCAAAACTCTAATTTCAGATAATGGGTTTTGTTCCAAACATACTGATAAAATTAAAATAAATAAGGAAAAAAAATTAGTAAAATTCCTATTGATACATAAATAATATCACAATAAGTTTGCAACCACAAATTTGATTGTAAGTTTGGGCAAAGGAATTTAAATGAGGAATTAATCTAATTTATTGAATAATTCAATTATATTAGCTGATATTATTTACTACCTTCAAGATTAAGCAAACTATTATACTGCAATTTACACTGGTTTAAAGACTCTATTCAGTAATTAATATAGTAATGAAATATTTGAAAAAAACATTATCATATTACTTTTATATTAAACTTACTTCATCTTAAAATCTTAAAGAATATGATTAATATCAATTAGATAAATATTAATTCTTCTTAATCTTAAATATAAGATTTGTTAACTATTAAAAATGGGTATGATAATATGGAAATTGTTTATTTCTTATTTATCTTATATATATTGTGTTTACTAGTTTGAAAATGGAAAATAATTCTTACATTGCTTAATTGATATTTTAAATGAAGATTAATAAAATTTTGAAAAAATATTCAATTAATTATTAAAAGAAACTGTTTATGTGCATTTGATTATTCAAGTGAATCAAGATTAACAGATAAAATCTGTTTATTAAGGAAATGATAATCATACAGAATATTCTAAATTTCATAGAATTGACACCTGTCTTACTTAATTAGATATATTTTTATTTGATGTTAAATGTATCCTCAAGTGTTAAAAATACGATGGAAGAGTTTTATTAAATCTAAAATGGTACAATACTTTAAGAATTAACAAATTAGAAGTATCAAAATTGTTAATAATGGTTTATTAATTTAGTCTAAACAATTATGATCTTTATAACGTATGCTGCCCATTATTAATTTAATTAACAAGTGAGTTAAAATTATCTTTAGTTACAATAGTAGGTAATTAATTTAATATCTCAACTTTTATAGAATATGGAGATATTTAGGAAAAACTTTGGAGTTTTAATTACTTCAAATTTTTCTAACCACATATTATCAATATGTGAAGTTGATTAGACATCAAAAAATTAAAACTCAAAGGAGTATATAAAATATTCTATGAACCTTGTTTAATATAGAATTAACCATAATTGTAAACTCAAATTGAAGAAAAATTGTTTGAGTAAAAAAAATCAGATAGTGAAATATGATTAGGAAATTAGATTACATGAGAGAGTTTTAATGCAATAATTATTAAAGATTTATTGACATATTGAAGTATTTTTGAGAAATCTAATTTATTAATAAAAAAGGACTATTTAATACTCTAGATAAGCTATCTTATTTATGCTCAGCTTACTAATTTGAATTAATTTGATTAATAGTTAGTTTTTTAAATAATATTTTGAAATAGTAATAGTTTAATTGAAAGAAATATAATAAAATATTTATGTAAAATAGAAGTAAAAACAATAAATCAAAGTACTTATTTAATCAATTAATGAATTAAATCAAAAAATACATAATGAACAATAATTAAAAATAAAGAAAATAGAAATTTTAAACTCTAAAAGAAGAATATAAGACAAAATTTAATAAACAATAGTCATCAAATTTAGTATAGGAGATGATTAATGAAACAGAGTAAAATGAAATTTTAGTATAGGAAGAAGATCTACATGTAAACTAGATTTTACAACTGAAAATAATATGGGAATGATGTATATTTATTGGAAATCTCATAATGAATTTTTGATGAAACACATCAAATGCTTAAAGATGAAATGTCATTTGATTTCGATTTGGGAATATAAACTTTTAAACACTACTTTCATGATAAATGCTTGACTTAAACCTTTGATAGTCATTAAATTATGGATTAAGAACATGGGTATGGGTTTAATTAACATAAGTTTTATTGTCCAATATGTAAATTACATACGAATTGTAGATATCCAATTTCAAAAATTGACAATCACAAAGTTAAAAGTTTTAATTCAGATTTAATTTTCATTTATTCTTAAATAAATATGGATGATGAATTTGAAGATGAATTACATTCGTAAATTAACTTAGTTAAAATTTACATAAATCTATTTTATGATTTGCTGATCTAATTAATTATTAATCCTTAAAATTATAGAAAAGCTAAAAAAAATATATAATTTAATCAATTATTTTGTTGCTTTTATGAAATAATTTAAGATATGAATTAATAGGATTTAGAAGCATAGCAATAATTACAAAATATTCGATAGAAAAATAATTTCTGAGTGAATATTTTGACTTCTATATATGAAATGTATGTGAAATAGTGTAGTTTGAATTAATTAAGATTATCTATTATTGAAATTATTAGTTAATATTAGTTAATTTAATAAGGAAGAAATCTCACTTTTAATTAGTTCTTTTGGCATAGAAGAATAAATTATGGTATAAGAATTAAAACAAAACACTAAAAAAATTATACATGACACATAAACCATTTAATATTTTTTAAATACTTTTTGGGAAACATTTCTATAATTTCATAGTAAATATTTTTGTAATAAAATGTTGTTCATGCAAATTTTATAATCTTAAAAAAGGTAAAATTCAGGAGTTTCCATCTGTTTACTATGTAAAGATATATTTTGCAATGAGTGACTGGAATTAATACATACTTAATATCACTAAAGCTAAAGAATTAGTAGACATAATTGTTAATAATAAATATCGTAAAATAATTAAGAGTTAACAAAAGGGCAAAGCAATTTTCTTTGAACATGAATAATTTTTGAGACTTGATTATTTTATTAGATAATATTTTAATTAGTTAAGCAATTATTATTCTAAATGTAATTTCAGTCATTAATTACTTTACTGTTTAGAAGCCTTGGTTTCTACAAAAGTTATATATTAGGTGACTAGTTCATGTACTTATTCTGATGTTTATTCTTGTTAAGCACTCTTCACTGTACTTTGATAAACTAATGTTGCTACGAATAAAAATATAAATAGAACACCCAGCAAGAAAGATGACTAGTAATTCTAAGAAGGAATTAGATTATTAAGAGAGATCCTCAATGTTTGAATAATTTGATTATCAATATATCATTCCTATAAAAAAGTTATTTTATTATTTCTTCAATTACATCTTATCCTGTTCATAATCATCTCCATTAGAATTATCAGTACTGTATTTAATCTATTTAATAGTCTTAAGAAGGTTAGATCGAATCATATCAAACTATGGGAAATATTGGTTTAAGTGTATCAATCATCCTAAAACCGCATAATATATTACTATTTATTAATTAAATAATATCCAAAATGAGCTAGACCATATTTAATTTCTGATCCCGATTTATCAATAAGGCTTTCTGGTTGAATTAATGTGAGCTTTTCAAGACTTGATACAAATAAATAAAAAGTATAAGCCTTTATATTAATGACTATTAGAATTTACAAAAATAACTAAATAATAACATCTGATAATCCTTAAGAATAAATGCAATTTCATAATTAAAAAATTTCTACTAGATTGAGTAAATTAGATTATTCTTATACAAAATCATCATAATATATTGATTAAAAGTAATATAATCTTACGATTATATACTAAATGATTAATATTATGTTATTCATTTTTGAACCATATCATTTGTTAGAATTAAAGTATGAATTTATGAATAAATTTAATTTATAAATCCAAATATTTGTCTAAAATAAATTATTTAAACAAGATAATGGGATGCTCCATCCAAAAAAAGGAATCAAATTAATCTTAGTTAAAGATGTCAAAAGAAAAGTCTTTATATAAATTGTTATGAAACAATGATCTAAACCTTTAACGATAATAGTAAATATCAATCAAAAAGTTATTTTTAACAAAAAAAGAAATTAAAAATTGTCAAGCCTGTTTAAATGTGATTAGCAATACAAATTTTATCAAAAGTTGATATCACTTAATTTTTGACCTTGATCTTTGATATTCTGGATATATGATGAAATTTATTTATTTATTNTCAGGTGTTACTGTCTGTTTACTATGCTAAGATTTATTTTGCAATGAGCCTTGCTCCGAAGATTATATAGAAGACATACATTATCATGTAAAAATTATGCATAATGAAAATTCTATATTTGTGAACCTTTAAGATGGTTCAGTAACATTAATTAATTCATATGCTTTAATTACAAGATTTAAATATTTGTATTATAATAGTTTAGGTGAAAAAATAAATATAGAGGATCCTAATTCAGACTGGAATGAATATAAACTTGATATCACTAAAGCTAATGAATTAGCTGATATCATAGTAAATAATGCATATAGTAAAATAATAAAGAGTTAAAAAAATAAAAGTTTTTATCATTGAAATATTTTTTGAGACTTGTATATTTTCTTATATAGTAATTTAATTAATTAAACAATTATTATTATAAATTTAATTTCAGTCATTAACTACTTTTCTGTTTAGAAGCTTTAGTTTCTACAAATGTTATATATTAAGTGACTAGTTCATGTACTTATTCTGATGTTTATTCTTGTTAAGCACTCTTCACTGTACTTTGATAAACTAATGTTGCTACGAATAAAAATATAAATAGAACACCCAGCAAGAAAGATGACTAGTAATTCTAAGAAGGAATTAGATTATTAAGAGAGATCCTCAATGTTTGAATAATTTGATTATCAATATATCATTCCTATAAAAAAGTTATTTTATTATTTCTTCAATTACATCTTATCCTGTTCATAATCATCTCCATTAGAATTATCAGTACTGTATTTAATCTATTTAATAGTCTTAAGAAGGTTAGATCGAATCATATCAAACTATGGGAAATATTGGTTTAAGTGTATCAATCATCCTAAAACCGCATAATATATTACTATTTATTAATTAAATAATATCCAAAATGAGCTAGACCATATTTAATTTCTGATCCCGATTTATCAATAAGGCTTTCTGGTTGAATTAATGTGAGCTTTTCAAGACTTGATACAAATAAATAAAAAGTATAAGCCTTTATATTAATGACTATTAGAATTTACAAAAATAACTAAATAATAACATCTGATAATCCTTAAGAATAAATGCAATTTCATAATTAAAAAATTTCTACTAGATTGAGTAAATTAGATTATTCTTATACAAAATCATCATAATATGAAGGAAATAATTTAATTTCTTTAATATTCTAAATAATTATTTTTATAACAATTTTGACCAGAATTTTAAGTTAATTATCTTTTTTCTCTTCTTATTCTAAGGTTACTAGTAATTTGGATAAAAATGTTAATAATTTTAGACATATTATATGTTGGCTTGTAGTTTATATTATTTAATTAATTTAAAATTTGATAACAATGAGGGTATAAATTTCAGAACAAAATCAATTTCACTAATTACTAATTTTATTTAAATAGAAAGCTTTAATTAAGCAAATTACTTTTATTAATAATTAATTGAATAATCTGATCTGGATAATCAAAAATATGGAATTTTAGATTATTAATCTTAATTGATTTTAATAATACCATATAATAATTTTAACTACATTAAATTAATACCATTTAGCTTTGTTATATGATTTCAATCGAAATCCATTATTTAGAAAATAACCAATGTATAATTAACATTTATTAAAACTAAGAAATTTGATTTTTTATTCATTTTAAGACTAAACTGCCCAATTTTATATCTTCTGATTCTCACATTATTCAAAATATTAAATATTAAAATTTGATTATGCTTCTGATTATATTAATTCTTATCATAGAAGGTTTTGGATGGAGACAATACAACACATGGTCATTTGATGCTCTAGGTTTCGCAATTGAAGATAAGAATTGTCCTAAATTACATGTATTTATGGCAGGATTGCATCCATATAAATGTGTCTGTAGATATTAGCTTTATTAATAGCTTATGCTTCTATTTGTAAAGGTGTTACAGAAGTATAAATAAAAACTGGAGGAGATGGAACTTAATATTAATGTGATCCCAAATTTTAACCTTGGGGAGCAGGGACTCCAACCCTAGACAAATATATGGTTCATTGTGGATATAATCCTGGCGTTTAGTTAGTAATCGAGTAGCTACCTGATGAAAGCTATAAATATTATTGTAAATGTAAGTATAAATTTCTAATATTATTTTAGATTTCTCTAGTTATTTTGATCAAAAATGTTTGATTACCGCTTATCAGAAAGGTTTATTTCGATGCTAGATTTGTAAATTTCCATTTTATGGACATGGTTTTGGTTGTGAAAAAGTTTTAAGTAACTATGATGAAAGATTTATGTTTCCTAATGAAAGACGTATTACAATATAATTATTAAAGTTTGTAATGGAAATTGCAACATTTGTTCTGAAAATAAAGAGTGTACATATTGTAGGGAAGGGTATTAACAAAAAGATGAAAATAACAAAAATTGCTATTACTGTATTTTATAATAAATTATATTTATACGGATAGCTTGTCATGGCCATTCTTATTGTTATTACGATAAAGTTCTCATGAAATTTTTTTATTATGGGTGCATGAAAGGATATATGCTAAGGAGAGATTATTGTGATTGTATTTGTATTAGGAGATTTTTTTTTAGATATAAGACCTTGTCTATACGCTAGCCCATCACTTACAAATATATATAATTGTTATAGTTGCGAGGAAGGATACTTAAAATAGCTTCACTCTGGAAGTGACTATCATTGTTATCAAAAGGAT